ATATCCATTCAAGTTTGATAGTTTAAATGTATTGATTAAAAGACCATTTTTTAGTAAGTGAGAAATGACAATATACCTTGCTAAAAGAAAAGTGAAAAAAGAATATTAGATTGGATAGTTGACATTGTAATGAAAAGAAAATGCATATCATTATTAGAATATTTTAAATTAAAGAACCATTTAATCTATACAAATACGTCTAAAAATAATACATTCTAAATTAAGCTGCCAGAGAGGAAGCATCATCAAACTTTTTATATCTTCCCTTTTTAGGGTGTAACATACCCAGCAATAACAGTATTTTCTTTATTGAACTACTACATAGTGATCACATTTAAACACAACAGTTAAACACTAAAGCCCATTTTCCACTGGATGGTACCTGCTCAACTTGCTTTGACTCTTTTTCAGTTTTCCATTGGTCAAATACCTTTTTTAGGTTTTTTGTTATCACCTCCCTCGAAGTTCCAAGCGGTGTGCAGTCCTGCAGTATGTTTACAGCTGAGCTGCTGCTGCTGCTAACGTTCACTCAGTTTAGGTTCTCAGTTTGTTTTTAGCGTAGGATTCCTTCGATTTTGACTGTTCAGGAGGTTTCAACCTGGAGCCGAATGACAACCAAGGTCGTCTCCTCTCCAAAACAAACAGATCCGATCTGTAATGGGAATTTCAGTACCATCTAGGTACCATCTCCAAACACAGTCATGTAATTAATGTTACTCACTGAGGGCCTCTGGTTTATCGGATACAGGGTCAATGGGAGGTAAATGTGTGTGATGCTTTACGATGTGTCCAGGGGGTCGTGTCTTTCAATGTTTTACAACATGTACCTGGCTGTACTAGGGCATAATTGTCTTTACGATAGATTTAGATTGAGTGTCCTCCAGAGGACCTCTTAAAGAGAACATTTTCCAGTGGTAAGATAAAGATAAAAGATAGTAAAGTGGTAAGATAACTGCAGCTTACCTGGATGATACTCTGATGCGTGTGTGTCCCAGTGAGTTCTTTCTGCAGAAGACTTGAATAGAATTCACAGAAAGACAAGTCTTTGCCTAAGCTATTTATTTGAAAACTTGAATTACCATCACAAGTCATTAAAACATTGAAAACACAGAATAAAGCAGTTTCATCTCAAGAAATGTCTGTCTCTTCGGCAGACACTAGGCATCAGTGAGCTAGCCTCTTGACAGCGTAAGAGTTGTTGGCTGCAAATGTTTTTATGTCAATCAGCACTTACATAAAACAGGTAGAACACAATGGAACTATTAATTTATATTTATCAATAGGGCCATGCTGTTGCACAAGAGGTGCCCCAGACCTGCCAAACTGTTTTTTTATAAGCTGGTATCACTAATGTGTAAGTACCATAACACGTCACCTAGTATGGGGTTTCCTCCGAGGAGTGGAAAGGTCCATTTCATGAGGGGCAGGGTGAGACACTCAGGTCAAGTGCAGGGAATTTCTCTTCTGTCTTGTCCTTGTAGTCCATAGTTGGGACACAGATGTGTTGGGAGGGTTGTCAGCCATCATCTCAGCTAAATCAAGATCTTCTTGTCTAACATGAAAAGGGCAGGGGAGCAGGAAGTGGAGTCCTGGGCAGCAGACAGGTACGCCACTAGCACAAGCCATCACTATGGCCAACTGCTCTGCTAATGTGGTTTAATCTTCCAACCAGTTCTTCGCTCTGAGGGGGGAGGAGTGTGATACATTGTCTTGTGGAAGCCCAGTTTTTCACACATAGCTGCAAACACATGGGACAAGGTTCCTGCCCTGGTCAATGTGAATGACTTCAAGAGCCCAAATCAAAATAAATTAAATGAAATTTCAGTGTTATGTCATCACATAAATATGTATGTCTCCTTACTGTAATTGATGAAGATATCCATTGTGATGTGGATAAGAGTCAGGAACATCAGCCTAAGGAGTGTCACACATGCTTACATTTCTAATTTTGTAATTTCTTCCGTTGTGCTACGCAGTGCTGTAAAACAGTCCTTTCTTTTTCTTTTCTGCATCACAATGACATGGTCGACTTTATACTGTTGAAATTGATGAAAAAGCGCAGCCTTGTGCATTTTCAATCATTGTCATCAAAACATTAGCCATAGTTTACATCAGACAACACTTACAGAGTACACTATATTATATTATATATATTGATAACATCACTAAACATTTTGACTGTCTTATTCGTAAACAGTGGCATAAGGACTTGTCATTCTGGTGGCACTGACATGTTCAATGACAGAACAACCAGATTTTGAAAGTATCCAAATAAAACACAAAACATGTTTTGTAGGTTATCTGCCTGCTTTCACTTTCTTTTATCAGTTTGAGGTTATAGCCAACCATGTGGTAGGAAGTGATTTTAATCCACTACACCTTTTTTTGGCACGTTTTTTTAGCTCTCCATTTTTATGTGTCCACTTTTCTGCCACAGCCCAGGGTCTGTAAATCGAACACAAAGAAAGAGGTGCGATCCCCACAACATTGATTAAGCCAATCAGCAGCATATGGGGGTAGCGCTCATAACCAGCTCGTACCCGGAGCAGGGGCAAAGAGAAAGTTGTATTTACTGGTACATTTGAACATGCTGGACTCTAGGCTTGTCCAGAAGGAGAGATGGCTGAGAAACAGCCAAAGAGGGAAAGGTCTGAAGAGTACACATTGTGAAACAAGTTATATGACCAGGCAACGCTGTTAACATTTGAGGTGTTTCAATGCTGGAGATACCTCAGAGATTTGAGTATTAGCCACTGTTTAGGGTTCAGTCTTTTTGCTCAGCCTTGTTGCTCTCAGTCTGTGTCCTTCACATTTTTGCAGTCAGGCCTGATAAGGTTGCTAATACCCACTCCTGATAAAAGTAACTACATTCATAAACGGGAAGCTGCTGCAGCTCTGAAGGCTGAGAAGGTCATCATGTGACACAGCACACAAACTTGGCATGCCTGTGTTGATGTTAACCAACTGTGTGATTGGTTTATGCATTAATACTTTGTTAATACCAAAATTATGTTTTATTGGTCAATGCTGCATTTCAGTCTTTATTTCTTTAGACGTATTGTAGGCTAATTACACTATTGTTTTAATACTGATTATGTGTGGATGTGAAGGTGGAAAGGGTGGGTCCTACAATAAGACCCACAAGAGGAGGAGGGAGACAGGATAGGTCAATCATTGTATTATAGAGTTTGAGGAATGAGGTATTTATATTTGCATTTGTTTGAAATTATCACTAAACTTGGGCTTTGAACTTTATTGGTCATTGAGAAGAATACTATTCGCATCAAAGGACCACAATTCACATAAACTGAGCTATAATTTACATTGAAGAATATGAAGTGTGAGAGTGAGGGCCCATTAGTCCTGTAGCCCGTTCTGAGGGTTTTTCCTCCCACAATTCAAAATATGAAATGCATTACTAAGTAGCCTAATACTACCGGAGATGTTACGTTCCTTGTCCACTTTTCATCTGAAACAAACTTATCATCCTCTCATCAGTCACTGTATTTTTATATTTCAGCAAAGATACTAGTAGTGCTGGTTACCTTGGCAATGCGCATCCACAAATTTGGGGGCGGGGCTTCTGAGGGAGCACTGAATGGAGGGGTGTATTTGTTTGTCAATAGAGTTCAAATAATTTCTGCAAAATCACTTACTATCCCTTTAAAAGAAACCCACTTCTTTGTTTACAATGTGGTTTACCACCAGCAACAAAAACATCTCCATGGTCAGAACCATAAATGTAAAAATACCTATAAAGGGTTTTAGAAAAAAGCTAAATGGTTTAAGCTATTAAAACAATGTCCTGTTAGAGAGGTAAAAATGTTTTGCCGTTTTTCTCAGTCGCTTTGGTACATAAGAATTGAAATTCTCAAAACTACTTGTTCAACCTTCACATCATCTCGTCACTTGTGCACATCATTAAAGCATCTCTTTGTTTTGAACAAATTGCAAATGCTTTGACACACTGATGCAAATGATTATGTACTGTCTGCTGTTTCCTACATTAACAATTGCTTGTTTCATGCTCATATTATGTATGTATGTATATATATATATATATATATATATATACATACATAATATATATGAAGATCGTCTGTATATGCAATCATTATTATTATTCTACACATGTCTATTAGACTTTTTTTTGTAAATGTCTCCTTACTGTAATTGATATCCGTTGTGATGTGGATAAGAATCTATGACCTGACAGACAGGAACATCAGCCTAAGGCATGTGTCACATGCTTACATTTCTAATTTTGTAATTTCTTCCGTTGTGCTATGCAGTGCTGTAAAACAGTCCTTTCTTTTTCTTTTCTGCATCACAATGACATGGTCTGTCAACAAATTACAGTAAAAATAGTAAAAACGTAACTGTGAATCCTGTCCATTCTCTTGCAATGTACAACTTTATACTGTTGAAATTGATATGTCATAGTGAAAAAGTGCAGCCTTGTACATTTACAGAGTACACTGTTATATTAGTAACATCACTAAACATTTTGACTTGTCTTATTCGTAAAAAATGAAACAAGGACTTGTCATTCTGGTGGCACTGACATGTTCAATAACACTAAGATTTGCTTTTGAGAGATAGACCATGGATTTTGAGCAAGTTACGGGCTTTTGCGGGTAATCCACTGCGTTGTGCTGTTTGTTCGAGAAAACTTTGCCCATTTTTAACTGGCTTTGTATCATTACAGTGTGGCTAGTATATGCAAATGAACAACAGTTAACTTCCCTCCATGTAGCCGGCACCTAGAGCTCTCTGTTTATTTGCCTACAGATTTTACTTTCACTTTTTTTTATGCCTGCCTCCATAGACAGTTGGATCGAGAGAGGGGCGGTTCCTTACCGCTCCAAAATCAAAACATCCTGTCTAAAATCAACTGCCTACAACAACTACTGGCAGAAGACAATGTTCTTGTAGATATGGAGGAAAAAAACCTTGGGGCACACTTCAGGATCAAAAGCAGCAAAAACAGTCAAAGCCAATGGGGCAAAACTGACATGTGAGTAATGATAACAGTGTTACTAGCACAGCAACGTGTGAAAACATACTGTACAATCCACATTTTTATGAGGCTTAGCACACACAACAGTCCAGTTTTCTACCCAATGGTGCTATCAGAGTTTAGCCAAACGTTAGTAGCTCTGACCGGCTGTTAAAAAAAAATGTACGTCTTTCTACTGCATAGACAGCACAATTTTATGAAAAATACCATTTTTCGAGTGATGAAATATCCCTTGAAAGGATAATTTCACTATTTCACATATTTTGGTGTCAAAATGACTAGTAGGTACAAAAGGTTTTTGGAATCCGTACAGTAGATGGCTTCAGCCAACAGTCGCGAACCTCCTGCGGAGGCTGCAATGCATTCCTTCGGGGCAATTGTGCCCGTCAAAATTACATCCACAAAAAGTGCTTTTTTTGGCCCTAACATGATCAGACTGTTGTTGTTGTACGAGGTGTAATCCCTACAAGTGACTGGTGAGATCCTTTGTTTTTAACAAGAAAACCGCTCATAACTACAGTAAGCATATTTGTTAGTTTATATCCCTTGTTTAATGAATAACAAATGTTCCATGACTGCTGAATATAATGCCTCACAGCATGATGCTTCTCTGGAATAAAGGCATTTTGCATTATTATAAACAATATCAAAAGATTGCATTACATAAAAAGATTGCTTGGTTGCAGAGCAAGTAAGGCTGTTAAAAAGCTACAGATAAGCATTATGTTCTTCTCCCCCATTCACAGTCCAGATAGTTTCACATTCGCTTATATATGTAGATAACTCTGTGGCAGGATGGACAGTGATGCTCTACATCTTTACAGGAATCAATGCAGAACGGGATACAGCAGCAAAGAAAACACCTGTAGGAGGAAACAAAGTGAGTTATAACTTCCCAGATTTGTTCCTACACTTTGTGAAAAAGGATTTGCTTTACTCCTTCCTATTGTGAAATTTATAGTTTCAAATGTTTCTCTTTATTTTAAGATAAAAACTACTAGAAGTTTCTTCCCAAAAAGTTGTTTTACCCAAAGAGGGCGAGGCCACCACAGATGGCCCAGGTCATCAAGCCTGCTGTGTGGTCTGTCTTGGTGATCACTGTCTGCTGGCAGTGGGGACACACAGTTTGTCCTGGGACGTCATGTAGTGCAGGTGCTACTATCATGTGAGTCACTGAGGATGAGAAATGCACAGCACATATTGGTCTTCATATTCTTTTGTCTCCATTTTCACTTGAGCATGCTTAAAATGAGTGATGTGTCCTATTTGTCACTCATAACTGGAAGTTATGCACTTTTTTAATCTTTGTCAGTATTTACCTGTAACCAATACCTCTAAATTAGACATATTGTAAAAGAACATCAAATGATCAGTCTGGCAGTCATAGCCACATAATTCTGCATCATAACATCAGATTCCATGATAAGGATAAATGCTGACCTCAGGTGGATACATGCAGACACAATTACACAATCTAATAATATGTGTAACTGTGGTGGCCAGCTAGTGAAACATTTCTGTTGTTACGGTAGACTTTCCACTTGGGGCTGTCAAGATTTAAGAATAAAAAGTACAGACTGCAATGACTCAAAAAGAACAGCAGAGGCTGCCAATAGCACAACAATTTGATAAGGAGATGTCTTTCTATGATCCCGGTCAGTAATTTAAGTCATTAAGCCATCTGGGGGGAGAAAAGGGGTTTTATAGTAAAGGACAACTCAGATTGTTCTCATTTTGTTTGTTTTGAAACTGTCACTGACAAACAGTAACTCAAAAAAACCTCATAATTGATATCAATGTAAATGTGAGAATTGCAACACATCCTTCATGTGAGAATCCCACAGTTCATATGAGCAGTCTTAGTGTGATGTACACTTTTCACATGTGAACTTCACGTGAAGAAGTAACATACCTTTGATAGGGATCCTTCGTCTACTACAGCAAGCAATACTCAAAATGTGACTGTACACCACCAACAACAAACCATGAACAATAGCTTTTTGTTATGCACAGAGACCACAAATGGGCTATTCAGATCACTTTTGTTGGAGACCGAAGACTTCACCCACTGATTTTGTGGCACTTTACAGAGGCAGATCTTCTCGTTTCACAAACTGGAACGGAAACATATTTGCCACCAAGATGTGTGTTCACTGATGTGTTCACTGATGTGTACAGTATGTGTGTGCATGCACATGTTCTGAGAAATGATACAACGATGAGTGCATCATCTAGTGTTTTAGGTGGGGTAGCTTTGTCTTGGGTCAGGTACATCACCTTACCTGTTGTGGCAGGTGCAGCCATGGCCGGAGCAAAAGGAGCACCTGGCAGATGAAACACACAGTTTACAAAAGCAGGAAAGGATGGTTTAGGACAGATATTTCCAGAAATCCCTTAACATGACTGGACTAAAGTAACAGCATTATATTTTAACGCAGGTAGTGACCAAACACAGACCTCCTTGGTATGCAGCAGGTGGAGGTGCAGCTGCAGAGAAACCTGGCTGAGGGTACACCTCTGGCTGAGGGTACATCCCTGGCTGAGGGTACATCCCTGGCTGAGGCACCGCACCACCATAGTTTATAGGTGGCCCAGGGTATGGTGGAGCTGATTCCTGTGGTGGGTATCCTTTTTCCATTCTCAGAGAGCTTTACTGAATATGAGAAATGTATATAAAATTTTTAAGTTGATCAACTGGCTTTTAAGATAATTAAAGAAAAGAAAGAAAGTATAGTTTATACAGATAGATAGATAGATAGATAGATAGATTGATTGATTGATTGATTGATTGATTGATGCATGGTTTGGTTATCTAAGAAATTTAGTAAAAAAAAAAAACATTTTATCAAATGTGGATGTAGGCCCCTCATGAGCATTTTCATCTACAAAATGTTTTAAGAAATTGCACTCAGCTCAGATTTATTGATATCATGTAAACAGCAGCAGGAGAAAGTGTACAGTTGTATAGTTTGACTTCTCTGGTAGAAACAACTGATGTTTTTTACTCTCTAACAACATGTTCCACATCCTCTTTGCAGTCCTCACAACTCTAATGCATTCATGTCAGCTGTAGGCAAATTAATGTTGACACAATAACATTTGTTTTTTCTAGCACAGCAACATGTTTGAAATGCTAGGTTTTCTTTGAGTGCCACCATGCCAAAACTAATTTTTGCTAGCTCAGTCAGGATAATGATCTGAGAAAACCAATGGTGCAGGAACTATTCAGATCCTTTCCTTAAACTTGCAATAACTGACTTGGTTGATCACCTGGGGGCAGCTGAAACAAACTGTAATGACAACACTGATATGCTATCAGTTGTTGATATGGCAAACTTGTTAAAAAACACTTATTTACACAATCAGCAATTACAGAGCAGCATTTCATTCATATGGAGTCATGTTTGTGGTCACCTGATGAACGTAAGTTCAACATTCACTCTCTTTTAGCCCTGTTTTGGTCTCTACTAACTGCTGAGGTAAATATCTGGCTCTTCAGCAGCAAAAATGCTCCACGAGGTTCCCTAACTAGTTGCTAACTGGTGGTTAGTCTGGTTTTTGGTGCTGAGCAGGTGTACAGTGGGTTTTAGAGCTTTCGCGCAGAAAACAGTCGCCTGCTGCAGCCACAAAATATGCTATGAGAGAAGAGAGAGACAGCTAAACACATATCTCAACTTACTATAAAGCTCTGTAAAGCCGATTCAGGTAATATTTATCTGTAGGTTCATCACTACGATCGACCCCTTTTACACTGTCACATTGTGACATAAAATGGAAATAGTATATAATAAATACTATAATAGTGAATTACAAATACCTCAAAATTTCAATTTAATTCTGTTTTATTTATATAGCACCAAATCATTATAGAAGTTATCTCAGGGCACTTTTCATATAGAGTAGGTATAGGCCGCACTCTATATTTACAGACCCAACAATTTCCACACTTGGTGACAGTGGCAAGAAAAAAAAAATCCTTTTTAACAGGCAGAAACCTGGAAAACAAAATTGTACTTAACTACTGTTAAGAGCTACTAGTACTAAGCAAATGTACCAACTTTCCACCAAGTTTACATTTAAAGAAATGCCAAACTATAGTATTACTACAGTAGCTCTTGGTCCAACACAGTCAGATGCAGTGAACAGCAGCAATTTTCATTTGCCTAGTGGGAGAGGCACGACGCAAAACAGTTTATGTTTAAAGAAGCTTTGCTCTGATAATGTTGCCCTGTAACTGTACAGCTCCTTAACAGCCATTTTCAGCTGGGTCATACTTAGTTTTGTCATGCACTAAATCAGTAGATTAGTGCAGTATATTGATAATATATTACAAAGTGCATGCTGGTCAGCCTGTTAGTCACTGTGAACAGGGCTTGTCAGTCTTTGCGAGCCTTCCTGTGTCGCATCATAAATCCATCATAAATCAAGAAGAGTAATATGAGCCACATACACTGATGAAGCAGTTTAATTCACCACTTGAGCCTCGCCTTCTTTTGTTCGGACAATGCAGCTGGATAAGGCTTGGATAAACAGACATACTGATAACTTTAGAAGAATGGCTACAGAAACTGATTATTGTATAAGTATAAATGTGTAAAATATGATTTACCTACCTGTGACTTTCCATAAAAAAAAAGAGAGTTAAGCACCCTTTCTCCTAGAGCCGTCTGGTCCTGAATGAGGCAGGAAGAAACCGTAAAACCAAAAGAATACAGATGAAAGAAAGACAGTGAGGACAGATTAATAAACAACTGCACAGAAAATTGTAAATCTAATAGAGGAGGGTTTGTCTGCACTTCCTGTAGCACTATGTAAAAGAGACAAGCCCAGAATGCAGTCCACTTAATGATGCCCCCTCCCCCATCTTCCTACGATTATTCCATGTGACTGGGTGGGTGTTAACATAACAGTATACCAATGTTTGTTCAATGTTGGCCAGTATGACCAGAGAGGTAATAATGAATACAGAACTGAACAAAAAGAGAAGGAGAGGGATGTGTGTTTGCTCAGAACAAAGTGTTCTTGTTGACCTATACAATGCCTCATGTCATTGATCAGTCTCGGTTTCAGTCAAATCACATTTAACACATGCATGAAGTCCTATGAAGTATAACTAAACCCTGCAACTCAGACCATTTAAGAGAATTTTTTTTTTTTTTTTTTTTTTTTTTTTGATGAACAGATGGGTTTTTTTTCACGGCAAAGAATGTTAACCATGCTGCTACCATCAACATCTTTTTCCTGTCACCCTACCCCTATGGTTTCCTGTGCCTTAACCTACACTCAGTCTGACTCATGAGAA